TGCCTAGAGCCACAGTTGGGAAATTTTATTGAGAGCAAAGGGGCATGAGAAAACTTTTTAGGATGAGGGAACTCCTCTTTTTCTGATTGTGGTGGTTCAAACAATTTAATTCAATTTAATTGTATGAAACTGCCAAAATTCATTAAACTGTTCATTTAAAATTCATTAATATTACTGTATATAGGTAACACTTCAATAAAGGGCATTCCTAAAATAATTTTTACATGTGGCGTTTCTCAAGAATTCAAATGGTATAGTTCAAATGAGGTCTTTTCTCTATACCGTATCCTTTCATCTTTTAATGATTTGTACATCTAGTTTTTTTCCTCAACTACAGAATTATAAATAATGTTTAGTCAAATGGTGTGCAAATGACTAATAAACGTATTAGTCATTTTACTGTTTAGATCTTTTCTTTTTCATAATAGGCCAAAGGCTGGCTAAAAGTTTTAGAAGTGATTCAGTCTCCTTTATCATGAAAACACTGCTCTGGGTTTCGGTATCAAAAGATACAAACATAAAGGAGTTATTCTGTGATTTTTCTTTCTTTGTTTTTTAGATTGTAATAACTCCATATAACTACTGGATAATGGAAATGAAGGTGATTGGTGGGAAACATGCAATTAAATGTGATTATAAATCATGCTCATTTGAAAGGTCAATGTCATTTTGATACTTTTAAAATTTTCAGGGCAACTAACAAGTGTGTTCTTTTGTCTGCCTTTCTACCAACCTCACCCACCTTAGTGGTCAATTTAATCAACCTGATATGAAACTACTAATATTACTAATAGAATGTCAAAGGTTGTAGGGACAGAAACATCTACTGAATGTAAGTTAATATATTAACCAAATGGCGCCTTTCCACTATGGTTATACAAATGCCCAATTTATTGCTTCTTTTGGGCTTCCATTCACTCTTTCATAAAGTGTCTTTTATCTTCAACACTGTATTTTCCAAACTAATGCTAAATTACAGAAAATTGAGCATTTCTAGGACCTTGGAATGAAGCAGGCAATCTATTGAAGATAATCTTCTTAAATTACTGATTGTGACCTAAGAGATGTTATATAAATAACTATCAAATTATCTGCTTATTTTATATTTTGTTTCCTATTTATTATATTTAAGTTTTTTAGTGATTGTTTTCTTTAAAAAAAAAAAAGTCCTGCTAGTCATTCCATGCTGAGCAAATTAACTAACATGTTCTGGATCAAGTATTTGCATCTTAAATATCCAAATATATACGTACAATTAATAAAGAAAAGTATATTTGTTTTCAAATACTTGACGGGCTCTTACCTAATATGGAAGATAGTCTTTGTTTGAAATTCCAAGTGTACAATTTAATGAATTTTGGTAATTTCATACAAGTAAATTGAATTAAATAGTTTGTACCTCTACAGTCAAGATACAGAAGAGTTCCGTCATCCTAAAAAGTTCTCTTTGCTCTCAATACATTTCCCACCTCTGGCTCTAGGCAGTCACTCACCTACCACAGGAGATGGTCTTGTTTTGAGTTGTTTCAGAGTGTGATTTTTACTAATGGATATGAGTTAAAGAGATATCAGTATGATATAAGGAAGAGTTTTCTGACAATTAGGTATAAACTCTTCATCAATTAGAGAGGTCTGAACACTTGCAAATTAAAATCAATGCCTCAAAGTCTCTTCCCATTCCAGGGTTCTATGACTATCTTGTTCGTGCTTTGGAATAGCATGTTCTAGTTAATTTGCATTTTTCTGAATAACCCTAAGTTAACTCTGGGTAACTCTTCAGGTTTTTGTTTCAACACTTGGTGACAGTCTTTATAAAATGTGTTATAAAAGTGTTCTGTCTTATTATCTTGGTGTACATTGTGCTAGATTTGTGGGTTTTCTTTTTTTATGATTGAGAATGTTATGATGACTTGGAGTTACCATCATTTCTGAACATTAATCATCACTGACAAAATTATCAGTGAAGAATATGAGGGAGTTTAGGTTCTGTAATTTGCTTTTTTAAAAATAACTCTCTGATCTCAGTTTTCTTTGTTTTTCATCTTTTTCTCCTCCCCTCCCATACCCCCAGTAGAGTCCTCTTTTCACTGTCTGTCCCTGTCTGCATCAACTGGCTTGCCAGTCTGAATCTGAATTGGTGAAAAATGCCAGTTTTCTTTATTGCTTGTCTCCATGCCCTCTAACCAGATATTTCAAATTTACCTTTTCTTCTTCTTATTCAACAACTCTCTAGCCATGTCAACCCTTCCCCTTCCTCACACCCGTCTTATCCTTATTACCTGCCTGCGTGGATTATTTCAACAACCTCTTTGTTTCCAGTCTTTCCCAATTCTGACTAAGTTTTATATTTCACTGTCAAACTGAGCTTGTCCGAATTCAGGATTTCATTCCTTAGCACAAGAACGTGCAGGGATTTCCTACTGCGTGGCCCATCAATTCCAAACTACCCCCACTAGGCTTTTAAATCCCTCCACAAATGGCTCTACTACATGACTTAAGATTCATTTGTTGCTCTGTACACACTGGCCCTTTTTTGCCTCTGGAACACATGTTCCTACCCTCATGTCTTTGCTTGACATGACATTGTTGCTCAATCATCTTTACTCTATCTGAACTGAAGGTGTCCTTCAAGTACTACTTCCTTCACAAAACCTTTTCTGTCAGCTCCTATCCATACCAATTTCTAATGAATGGAGAATGCTTAGCTCTCAATAACTCCCTTCATTTTTACACATTAGCTCTATCTCTGTGCTGGATTGTACGGTCCACAAGGGCAGAGACCAGATCCTTTGTTGAATTTGTTTCCCCATAATGTCAAGTTCAATGCAGGGCACATAGTATTCCTAACTTTACAATGTACTTTTCACATACATTTTCTCTCTTATTTTATATACCATAAACAACATAAACACCTGCAGATTGACTTATTTGTTGTCACTCATTCCTTGCTTACCTGAACATCGCTATCATTTATTGTTCTGAAAGAGCTCCTCTTACCTCTTCTCTTCTTCCAAATGTAAATAGTATTCACTACTTTATGAACGTCAGTAAATACTGGCATTGATATACCAGTAAGGAAAGAAAACCATAAAAGCGAAAGTATGAATTATCTGTACTATACTAAATGAAATCAATCCTAATCATTAAAAGTTACATAGAGTTTTTTAAAAATTTTAAATGGCCTAAACTTATACGCAGATAAAACAGAGACCCACAATTCTTTATCTGCAATTCTGAACTACAGAAAGCTCTTAAGCTGAAAGTCTTTGTAAATTTATAGTCTTAATTTATTCCACTTAAAATAAATGTTTATATGTTTTGCTGCAAATATATTAATATATTGGGTTATAGGGTACTGCCCTAGACCCTGTTGGGAATGCTTCCTAATAAAAAGAATGTGTATTGTATTACCTTTTTTAAAATCTAAAAAAAGGTCTGAATTCTGAAAATGACCTCAGGGGTTTCAGATAAGGGATTATGGATCTGTAATACATTTGTATAGTGCTCTGCAACCCTTCATTTAATAATATCATTTGATCCTCCAAATAATGTTATAAGGTAGCTACTACTACTGTTATTATTTCCATTTTCCAGATTAGAAAAGATGCAGGAAGATTAAGTGACTTGATGGTGAATGATAGGACTGAAGCTCATGTTTTCTAATTTTAAGTCCTAATCCCTTTTCTATGCCAATACTTTGAGCAGATGCTTTGGAAGTCATTCTGAGTTGTAGATTCTTCATAGACGAAATACAGAAGGTACAAACTTAAGATAAAATATGACTTAAAGAGATACCAAAGATTAAGTTTCCTCTGAGTTGAACGTTTAGAGTCTAATACTTTCTAAAGACTATATGCATATATATGTACATGTATATATGTACATATATAAGTAGTTTGTAAAGTCAATTTCACTCCCCGTTAATATAACTTACATGATAATAGTACAAAATCTGTACCTAAGTTTCTTAAATATTTTCATGTATAAACAATAGGAGATTTCTGTTGACCTTGGAGAAGATATGAGCCTTCCTTTTAGACTAAGAACAGAAAGCAGATAAAATATTCTGATATAAGGAGTATGAGGTGTATGTTTTTGTGGCTAGGGAATTTGTTAAAAGGCAGAAGAGGGCTTCCCTGGTGGCGCAGTGGTTGAGAGTCCGCCTGCCGATGCAGGGGACACGGGTTCATGTCCCGGTCCAGGAAGATCCCACATGCTGCGAAGCGGCTAGACCCGTGAGCCATGGCCGCTGAGCCTGCGCGTCCGGAGCCTGTGCTCCGCAACGGGAGAGGCCACAACAGTGAAAGGCCCACGTACCGCAAAAAAAAAAAAAAAAAAAGGCAGAAGAGAAAGTAAAGAAACCATAAATGGGATGGCAAGTAGGTTGGCTTTCCAGAATGAGAATTCTTCTAAGAAAAGGGCAAAGGAACTTGAGTCCAGGGACTGTGTCCTAGGCATACTTGTGTTCCAAGTGTGCTTGGGCTTAGTAAATGTCCAACAGATGAATGACTACCAAACAAAACTAAGTGTGATAGAAATGATAGGCAAATATTTCTGAATCCTATTGTTCAAAGCTGAAAAATAAAACTGCATCAAGTTTAGGATACTCACAGAATGGGTCATTACAGTTTTGTAGAACTAAAACTTCCTTAATTCCCATATTCTAAGAAAAGCACTGAGTTTTGAATGAGCCAACTGAAATTTAAATTCTAGCTTGGCCACTGGACAGCTGTGTGGCCTGGTACAAAGAAGTACATTTAAAAGTCCCAGTTTCCTTAATTGTAAAAATAGGGATCATAATATTTACTCTGAATAGTTGTTTTAGGATTAAATTAGATAATATATATGGAAGGGATAACATAGCACCCAATACATGGTCATCCTTCTTTGCACCCCTGCTTCCTTCCTTCCATCCTTTCATCCATCCTTCCATCATTAACATCCATAACACCTTTCCAAAGTAGCCAACTCTGGCCATACTTTTGGTGTAGTCTGAAACAGGGTCAGAAAAAGAAGACCCACAAAATTCTCCTCTTGCTGTTCTGTGCTCAGGTATACAAGAACACTTGGGGCACAGCAGGAGAAAGGTGAGCTACAAGAAGGGCTTTAATTACTGGGAACCTGCTCTGCACCTTCCTAGAGATACCACAGTGCTACCGACCTGTTTACTCATTCATTCCTCAAGTATTTGCTTAGTGGTATTACCAGGTATAATACTTCACTAGGTTCTGAAATTATTGAGATAATAAATTCAGTCCTCAAAAAGGCAGGGGACCACATGGTAGGGAATACAGAAGTTTAAAAAATAATTGCAAATCATCTCTCAAGGTATATAACACTAGAAGTCAGTAATCACATACCTCTGTATTACCATAAAGGAAAAAGTGAGATATCTTGCCTGAGAGAAGCAGAGGAGGAGTCTGGAGACAGAGGTGGACAGAGAAAACTTGGCAGAAGAGGGGACATTTAACATATTCTGAAAGACCTTTAACCTTTAAAATCTCTTAGGAGTTTTCCATCTTCGGTCATGGTTAAACTATAAAGAATGAAATTGATATATCAAAATTTCAATAAATGTTTTATTCTTTTTATTGGATCAAGTTTTTGCAAAATGCTGGTTTCCATTGTCTTTATGTTGATGTAGTTTTGTTCTCTCCTAGCTCCCCTCCTGACTGGATGAGTCACAGCACGTCTTACAGCAGTAATACATTAGGTTAATAAAGCAATTATTTAATTGACTCTAATTTCATTGGCATTTCTATTAGCTAAAGGAAAGAGGTTCAATCACTGTTTACATTTGTAAAGCCAATATTATGGTTTAAATTATGGCCTTTGGACAAAATTGAAAATTGAAGCCTGATAATCCTTAAAGCAATATTTACAGAGGACTCTTTGTCTTTGTAAAGAATAAAGGGAACGGAAACAAGAGCACATTAAATCAGAGGGGCTTTTAAATATTCATTTTGCAATCAGGTTCACTGGTTTCCAGGCCACTATCTACCTTCATCATTCTTTTTGTAAAGAAATACCAAATCTCTTGCTTTAATTAGCCTGTGAAATAGAACCTATTGCTTCACATTTTTGTTTTTGATTCTGGAGTACAGGAGTTCCAGATATAACTCTCACAGTACAAATATTATTCTTCAACAGAAACATCTTGGGAGATACTGCAAAAATGCCGACATTTTGAATAGGTAGCTTGATTGAAAGTGTGTGCTACCTAACACCCCCTAGTAAAACCTCTTACAACCACCCAATGAAATAACTATAAAAACACTAAAACTGATAAAAACTAACAACTCCAAGATCAGTCAGTAATCCTGTTGTCAATGGTTTTCCATGAATCACAAGATGATGGAAGTGGTCTAGATGGAGTTCTCTTACTTTAAAGATGAATGACCAAAGAACCCAAATAGTGCTTGTGAAAATATGCTCCAGCTTGAGGGAATGTGAAAATCACTCTGAAAAACAAATAAACAAACACACAGAAACATGCTTAATATGGGGATCAGACAAAAAGGTTAGAACAATCTCGTATCCTCCATAGCATATAAGGCAAGCCTCTGAACAAACTGTAGAAACCCGTAGGTTACAATATGTAATGCAAGAGAAGCAATGAGATGCAATAACAAGAGGCCAAAGTAACAACGGAAGTGGATAAGATTTGGAAAAAAGTAAAAGGATTTAAGTTGGCACTAAAGAAAATCAAATTAATTTTTATATGTAGTAAATTTTAAGAAAGAGGAAAACAGATTTAAAGCATCCAGGAAGGAAAAAATAAAGCAGGTTACCTAAAAAGGGACAAAATTAGGCTGGGCTTAAACTTCTCTGAAGCATTAAGTGCTATGAGATGATGGCACATCTACAGCATTTTTTTAGTGCCATCTTTAACTTAAAGAAAGGTGACAAAAATAGTACACAGATTTCTCATTTACCATTCACCCAGATTCCCCTTATGTTTAACATCTTACATAACCAAAAAACACTTATCAGAATTAAGAAATCAACCTTAGGATACTACTCTTAACTAAAGTACAGAACTTTTTTCTACCATTGTCCTTTCGTTGTTCCGGGATCCCACATTGCATTTAGTTGTCATGGCTCCTTAGTCTCCTCCAATCTTTGCCAGTTCTTGAGTCTTTGTCTTTCATAACCTTGACACTTTTGAAGGGTACTGGTCAGTTATTTTTGTAGACTGTGCCTCAATTTGTTTGTCTGATGCTTTCTCATTAGATTAAGGTTGTGCATTATTGGTAAGGAAACCATAGAGGCAATGGGCCCTTCTCAGTGTCTCATATCAGGGATTAAATAACATCAGTAAGTCTTATTACTGGTGATGTTACTCTTGGTCACTTAGTTAAGCTGGTGTTTGTTAGGATTCTCTAATGTTGTTACTCTTTTTCCTCTGTAGTTACTAAATATTTGAGGGAGATACTTTGACCTTATGCAAATATCCAATTTCTGCATAAACTTTTACCTATTAATTTTAGTAGCCATTGTACTGTGTGGCAATATTGCCATGGTGTTTTAATAGTGATTTCTATTTCTCTTATTTCTTTGTATATATTATTTAGAATTGTTATTTGAGTAAGAGTTGTCACATATCCCCCTATTTATTTACTTATTTATATTAGTATGGATTCATGAATATTTATTTTATTATTCGGTTATAATGTAATGCAATCATTATTTATTTTGTTGCTCAAGCTGTTCCAACTTTGTCAATTAACTTTTCCAGGCTGGCTCCTAAGCCTTTTTTATATACTCCCATCTTTTTTTTTTTAACCTCCTTACTTTCTTTTTTTTTTTTAATTTTATTATTTATTTATTTATTTTAGGCTGCGTTGGGTCTTTGTTGCTGCACGCAGGCTTTCTCTAGTTGCAGCGAACAAGGGGCTACTCTTCATTTCGGTGTGTGGGCTTCTCATTGCAGTGGCTTCTCTTGTTCCGAAGCACTGGTTCTGGGCACACAGGCTTCAGTAGTTGTGGCACACGGGCTCTACAGCACAGGCTCATTAGTTGTGGTACATGGGCTTAGTTGCTCTGCAGTACGGGGGATCTTCCTGAACCAGAGATCAAACCCATGTCCCCTGCGTTGGCAGGCCAATTTTTGTTTGTTTGTTTTGTTTTGTTTTTGAAATAGCTGGCTTTATTTATGATTTGCTCATTTTACCTTCTTTACCACCTTTTTTTTTTCTGAGATATACATTTTAAAATAATAACTAGAATTATGACTTATAACATTATACCAGAATATATAAGAATTTTAGAAATTTCATGCAATGTCTGAAACATTTATATTAACATATTTCCATACAAATAACCCAAAGAAAGTTTAGTATTAGTTGTTTTTTGTTTTTGTTTTTTTATACTGCAGGTTCTTATTAGTCATCAATTTTATACACATCAGTGTATACATGTCAATCCCAATAGCCCAATTCAGCACACCACCATCCCCATCCCACTGCGGTTTTCCCCCCTTGGTGTCCATACGTTTGTTCTCTACATCTGTGTCTCAACTTCTGCCCTCCAAACTGGTTTTCTAGGTTCCACATACATGCGTTAATATATGATATTTGTTTTTCTCTTTCTGACTTACTTAACTCTGTATGACAGTCTCTAGATCCATCCACGTCTCAACAAATGACTCAATTTCGTTCTTTTTTATGGCTGAGTAATTTTCCATTGTATATATGTACCACAACTTCTTTATCCATTTGTCTGTCGATGGGCATTTAGGTTGCTTCCATGACCTGGCTATTGTAAATAGTGCTGCAATGAACATTGGGGTGCATGTGTCTTTTTGAATTATGGTTTTCTCAGGGTATATGCCCAGTAGTGGGATTGCTGGATCATATGGTAATTCTATTTTTAGGTTTTTAAGGAACCTCCATACTGTTCTCTATAGTGGCTGTATCAATTTACATTCCCACCAACAGTGCAAGAGGGTTCCCTTTTCTCCACACCCTCTCCAGCATTTGTTGTTTGTAGATTTTCTGATGATGCCCATTCTAACTGGTGTGAGGTGATACCTCATTGTAGTTTTGATTTGCATTTCTCTAATAATTAGTGATGTTGAGCTTTTCATGTGCTTCTTGGCCATCTGTATGTCTTCTTTGGAGAAATGTCTATTTAGGTCTTCTGCCCATTTTCGGATTGGGTTGTTTGTTTCTTTAATATTGAGCAGCATGAGCTGTTTATATATTTTGGAGATTAATCCTTTGTCCGTTGATTCGTTTGCAAATATTTTCTCCCATTCTGAGGGTTGTCTTTTCGTCTTGTTTATGGTTTCCTTTGCTGTGCAAAAGCTTTGAAGTTTCATTAGGTCCCATTTGTTTATTTTTCTTTTTATTTCCATTACTCTAGGAGGTGGATCAAAAAGGATCTTGCTGTGATTTATGTCAAAGAGTGTTCTTCCTATGTTTTCCTCTAAGAGTTTTATAGTGTCCGGTCTTACATTTAGGTCTCAAATCCTTTTTGAGTTTATTTTTGTGTATTGTGTTAGGGAGTGTTCTAATTTCATTCTTTTAAATGTAGCTGTCCAGTTTTCCCAGCACCACGTATTGAAGAGACTGCCTTTTCTCCATTGTGTATCTTTGCCTCCTTTGTCATAGATTAGTTGACCATAGGTGCGTGGGTTTATCTCTGGGCTTTCTATCTTGTTCCATTGATCTATGTTTCTGTTTTTGTGCCAGTACCATATCGTCTTGATTACTGTAGCTTTGTAGTATAGTCTGAAGTCAGGGAGTCTGATTCCTCCAGCTCCACTTTTTTCCCTTAAGACTGCTTTGGCTATTCGGGGTCTTTTTTGTCTCCATACAAATTTTAAGATGATTTGTTCTAGTTCCATAAAAATTGCCGTTGGTAATTTGATAGGGATTGCATTGAATCTGTTGATTGCTTTGGGTAGTATAGACATTTTCACAATGTTGATTCTTCCAATCCAAGAACATGGTATATCTCTCGATCTGTTGGTATCATCTTTAATTTCTTTCATCAGGGTCTTATAGTTTTCTGCATACAGGTCTTTTGTTTCCCTAGGTAGGTTTATTCCTAGGTATTTTATTCTTTTTGTTGCAATGGTAAATGGGAGTGTTTCCATAATTTCTCTTTCAGATTTTTCATTAGTATATAGAAATGAAAGAGATTTCTGTGTATTAATTTTGTATCCTGCAACTTTACCAAATTCATTGATTAGCTCTAGTAGTTTTCTGGTGGCATCTTTAGGATTCTCTATGTATAGTATCATGTCATCTGCAAAGAGTGACAGTTTTACTTCTTCTTTTCCGATTTGGATTCCTTTTATTTCTTTTTCTTCTCTGATTGCCATGGCTAGGACTTCCAAAACTATGTTGAATAATAGTGGTGAGAGTGGACATCGTTGTCTTGTTCCTGGTCTTAAAGGAAATGCTTTCAGTTTTTCACCATTGAGAATGATGTTTGCTGTGGGTTTGTTGTATATGGCCTTTATTATGTTGAGATAGGTTCCCTCTATGCCCACTTTCTGGAGAGTTTTTATCATAAATGGGTGTTGAATTTTGTCAAAAGCTTTTTCTGCATCTATTGAGATGATCATATGGTTTTTATTCTTCACTTTGTTAATATGGTGTATCACATTGATTGATTTGCATATATTGAAGAATCCTTGCATCCCTGGGATAAATCCCATTTGATCATGGTGTATGATCCTTTTAATGTGTTGTTGGATTCTGTTTGTTAGTATTTTGTTGAGGATTTTTGCATCTATATTCATCAGTGATACTGGTCTGTAACTTTCTTTTTTTGTAGTATCTTTGTCTGGTTTTGGTATCAGGGTGATGGTGGGGCAGGCAGATTCTTAACCACTGTGCCACCAGGGAAATCCCTAACATCCTTACTTTCTGATGCTCCAGGCTCATATTGTGTTTTTCCTGTCCTAGCCCTAGAAGTAGCTGTTTCTCTGAGGAGTCCTGTCTTTTGCATAGCAGAGTGGAATTTATAAACCAAGATTTAGGTGCCAGCTGTTCATTGCTACTGGGGTACCTTCTAGCTCCTTTCAGTGGATAGAGCTAGGAAACACATGTGTAGCTACTAACTCATGCATACAAACACATCAAAATTTATTTCTGTATCATTTATATGTAAATATATTAAAAGAATAAGTTCATATTGATATCTCCAATTTTAATCCAACATGACAGGGTTCATTCTAGCTTTCTTCCCTTATTTGTAACTTCTTTCTCTTACAGTAAGAAACATGACTCCCATTTTCTATAGTTTATCTGATAACCCTACTATATAAACATAAGTAAAAATATCTTTAAGAGCATCCAAAAATACTTTTAAAATCTAAAATAACTTTTTTAATCTAAGAGAGTAGTTTTACATTTCTTAATCCCTCTGTTAGAAACAAATTACCAACTAGAGAACATTGTTCGTGAACAGCTCTTTTGTCTTTAGTCTTAAAACAGTTAAAACACTGCTTTCCAGAGTTTCTTAGCTTGGCTCCTTTCTTGTCCACCCCCTTCAGTGTAGTTATGTAATTCATTTGTAATATTGTGTGATTCCCATGTCACAGTCTGTATTTCATATTCCCCCCACATCCTAGTTGATTTTGTTGTTGTTGTTATCATATAATAAAATTCACTCTTTGTGGTGTACAGTTCTATGTGCTTTGACAAATGCAGAGAGTCATGTGTCGACCACTAGAGTTCCCTGCAGCACAATTTCATCAACCCCCTAAACAAGAGTTACCCCTTTATGGATAATCTCTCCTCCCATTCCTAACCCCTGGAAAGCACTGATCTGTTTTTTTCTCTGTACTTTTGCTTTTTTAGGAGTGTCTGTCATGTAAAATAGAATCACACAGCATATAGCCACTTGATTCTGTCTTCTTTCACTTAGGAAAACGCATTGAAAATTCACCCAAGTTGTAATGGGAACCAACAGTTTGTTCCTTCTTATGGCTGAGTTATATTTTATTGTATGAAATAGTTTAAGGGCATCTGGGTTGTTTACAATTTGGGGCTATTGTGAATAAAGCTGCCATAAACATTTGTTTATAGGGTTTTATCTGAATGTAAATTTCTTTTTGTCTTAGGAAGACACCTAGGAGTGGGATAGCAGGGTTATATGGTAGATGTATATTTAACTTTTTAATAAACTGCCAAAAACACTACCTCAAGTGGCTGTTCAATTTTGCATTCCTACCTGTCTATAGCATTTTAAGGAGAAAAGTTGTAACCTAAGAATTGTATGCCCTCCTAGATGTTTATGTGTGATGGCAGTGGAATTCTCATTCAAGGATTTTAAAACTATAGCATCAAATGGCCTTTTTGAAAAAAATTACTTAAAATCATATTCTAGCCAACTGAGAAGGAAATCATAATTAAGAAGTTGAAAACAAAACAAAACAAAACACCATTCCTAACAGACAAAATCTTAAGGAAAAGAAGGAAGGAAACTTCCTTTTCATAAAGAAAGGATATCTAAGAAGACAGATCACATCATGTAATATAAATTATAAAACCAGAACTCTTATTAAAATCAAGGGGGAACAGAATTCCCAATCTATTTAACATTCTTCCAGAATTTCTGGCTAGTGGAATAAGACATAAATCAGAAGTAATGGACTAACTGCTGGAGAGGAAAAGGGGAAAATGGTTATTAACTGCAGAGAATATTTCTTAGAAAACCCCAAAATACCACATAAAATCCTCTTAGAAATCAGTAAGGCTATGAAATATAAGAAAAATATTGAAAAATATCAATAACCCAGTAAGAAACTGAAGATATAGTAAAAAAAAAAAAATCTCTGGATAATAGCAACATACACACCATAAAATTTCTAGGAATAACCCTAACCAAAATATGCAGGATCCGTATATAGAAAACATAAAAATTATTGAAATATAAAGGACATGACCATTGACTTTTGCAGTTACTGCCATTCATTAATTCATTCAATTTGATTACTTGCCCAAAATTTCTTTGCCACAGAGATAAGTTCCATAAGAGAAGGAGCAATAATTATTGTATTCACGGTGTTATCCCCTGTGCCTAATATATTGCCTGACTCATAGTAGGCACTCCAAAAATATTTTTATATATGCCAGTATTTTGTTCAGTTATCTGATCTATGAAGTTTGTATAGCTTCTAAGAAACATTCACTAAGTAGCTTAGTAGTTTTTGAAAGGAGTCTAGACTAGTTAATTACCATCACCTAGCAAATTGTAATACCCATCCATTTGACAGCATCATGACTCATGGCTTAAAGCATAGGTACCTAGAGTCTTGCATTACTATCTTTTGTCACTTTCCCTCTGTAACATTAATGGATTCCACAACACAACACCAAGAATTTCAAAGCTTAGGAGAGTTTAGAGGATTTTAGAAATGGCCCTTCTCTATAAAAAGGTTGGTTATACTTTATCAATTCAATTTCTAGATCCCACAGGCAATGCTAGCTTAATAGAAACTGAATGGGAATGAAATTCTAGTAATTGAAAATTTGAGTTATTAAGGAAAGATAAAGAAACAGAAAAGAAACCCACAGAATCTAGGAGCAGGTAAAAGTAAAATATTTCACAGTATGCAGTCTGAGCCTTTTATCTGAAATCTGCTTTCTGCTTCCATGTAATACAGAATTTAAGGTTAATGATTCACAGTATTCCATTGCTTGATAGCTTAATTTCATTTCATAATTAGGTTGACATTTTTCCTCATAATATTCAATTGCTAATATTTTCCTGGGTTTTAAAAATAATGGAATAATATACCATTAGATAAAGTTAGCTGAATAGCTGAATCACAGCTAAAGATAAAGCATTTTCTTGAATATTCTTATCATTTTCCAGTGTTTTATTATCTATGTGTGTGTGTGTACTTGTGTTTTTATGTGTTTGCTGGGGGTGGGGAATACGGTGTAGTAATTTCCCTGTTGTTCTTCTTCTAAATAGGGACTTCCAGTGAACAATAATAATGGTAATGCCATAGTTATTTACTGAGAGAACTAATCGGGAGTCTGCAGTGGTGTGTTGAAGTTTTGTGAAAATGAAATTAGAGATGCAGCATATTTCAGCAGTAATGAATCTGTTTATGTTGTATAAAGCAGGGTTAAGATAAAGCAATTTTTCAAACTCAGTGCTTTTTGATGGTCAAGTGTTTATTCCATTGGGTCATTAATATACTATATTTCCAAAGAATTCTTTGGGCAAAGTTCATCTTCTGGCTAATGTTAAAGACGAATTGGCCCACAACAGGCTTTTTACATTTTGTAATGATAATTCTAAATTGTTAGGTAAGATCCTCTTGAGTATACTCTATTGCCTATAAATAAAAGGGCTGGCAAAGACCTTGTTTTTAGAAACTGAATTTACAACAAAGTTAGGCATATTAAACATCAATAGACATTATTGGTTCTACTGTATATTGCTGGGCCAATGATGGATTTTAACAGTAAGGAAAACTTAATAAATTTGATATGGAAATCGGAATTGTAATACAGTAGCAGGAACTCAACACGAAAATTTAGACATTAATGAGAATAACCTTTGAATGTCAGCTTGATTTAGACTTCCTGCATTTTGGCCAAATTCATAGGTTATGGCAAATAGGTTAGGTGGTAGGACAGAAATAACTGAAATGATTTTGTTTACCAAATATTTCAATGCCAATTGTTCACTTTATTTTTTAATGCTTCCTAGCTATTTTCATTAAAAAATGACAAATGTTCGACCTTAAATCTGTATCATTAAGTACAGAAGGAAGGTATTTAAATGGACTCCTTTTGGAAGTTAAGTTTAATATTAGTCAACTGATATATCTGAAGTTAGAATTTAAATTAGGGAGATAAACTCAGAGGAGAGGAATAAAGGGCAGTGCTGTGGGGATGTGAAATGGGGGAAAAGGCTCTCCAAAATAGTAAGGCCTTCTCTCAAGATATTAGGTAGTTGTGTTGGGTTATTCACCTGGCAGTCATAGAAAGAGGTAATATACTGCTTTACTTACTCTGTCACCAAAAAGCTCTGGAAATGTCAGTCAGAATTTTCTGTATATGGCAATAACTGTGATATACCCACTGCAAAATAAAGCATTATTAGACATAATCATACCTTAAGCTGTGATGACAGATCTTAAAATGACTATAAGCAGTTGAAGGGGAAAAAGGGTCACAGTTATCTGTGGCACCAATTAAACTGACAGCATACATAGGATTTTACTCAGGGAGAATACCAGTGATCTGAGTTGGGCCACCATTTAGTACATGCAACTCTGCAGTGAGATTGCTGCTGGAAGATGCCTTATAAACAAGGGCTGGAAACATGGCATGGCTTTTTGAGGCAAGACTGTTTTTTCACTACCTATCAAGATAAATACCACACCAGTGATGTGTTCATACACAAAATGGTAATGAAATAGAAAAAGGGCATCCAGGGTGATAGCTGTGGGAGTGAGTCAGTGCATTAATTCTGCTCAGCAAGAAAGATGTTTAAATTTGAAAAAAAATCTGTAAGTATTAAAGGGTATTCATACTTCCTTCCTGTTATGACACTCATTCAACTAAAATATAAATAAAAGGAAATGGACTGATAAGGTTGGTAATTGGCTATAGTGAGAAGAAAGCTGAATAAATGAGCAAAGAATAGATTTTTTTAAATTTATTTAAAAGGATTATAGTTTTCAGATGTTTCATCTCTTAAGGCAGGGTGATGTTGATATTTTTTTTTAAGCAATACTTACATCTGAAATAGTATCATGTACATTTTTAGCCAGTAATCAAAAAAATTCCATATTCTATACAAATGGGGGAAATGCAATTCATAACTGACAAGGTATGAATTTTTTATACTTTAAGCCATGAGGTTGCCACATCAACAAATGTAATTCCTTAGCAAATATGTCTTATGTTTATATTTATGAAATGTACACAATTGACATAGAACCCAAAAGGGAATAAGTAAGCATTTTATATATTTTTTTATGTGTGTGTATATATATATATATATATATATATATATTTACTTTGATTTACAAACTCCATTCTGGGAAATATTTATTAAACTAGAAACAAGGAATGAATGCAAGCAAAATGTGCTTAGAGTTTCAATTTCTCTTGGACTTGGTGTTACTTTTATGCATTTTACCAAAGCTTGGACTCACATCAAAGTGTTGGCCATGTTTTGCTTTGATTTTTTAATTTTTAAAATGTATACAAAGCTACTCTCAAAGGTGAAAATGAAAAATTATTAAAACTTAAAATTCATCTATGGAGGCACCACATTGCAGTGGTGATTTCATGTTAAATATCCTAAGCTGAAACAGCAAGAATCTTGGAAAGAGTGACCAAGTCTGGACACATAATATACTCCACATTTTGTGTAGCTATTGAAGAGGGCACCACAGCTTACTGAAGGGGCCATAAGATGAAAAAATTTCTTGAAATAGCTTTGATATCCATTCAAATATAAGTTCTTTGAGGGTAAAGTTTTTTTTTTTTTTTTTTTTTTTTTGCGGTACGCGGGCCTCTCACTGTTGTGGCCTCTCCCGTTGCGGAGCACAGGCTCCGGACACACAAGCTCAGTGGCCATGGCTCACGGGCCCAGCCTCTCCGCAGCATGTGGGATTTTCCCGGACTGGGGCACGAACGTGTGTCCCCTGCATCGGCAGGCGGACTCTCAACCACTGCGCCACCAGGGAAGCCCCAAGATCTTGTTTATCATGCCTCTCAACCTCCTTGATATCAGCATGAAGTTAGAGGAAGCAGTACTTCTAATTAGTTCCCCAGGAGTAAGGATGGGAAGTGAGGAAGTGGTCCCATCATCCCCAAAGAGCTGAAGCAATGGGAGTTGTCTTGAGAGGCTCCTAATCTGCCACCACTGTAAAAGTTGAGGCATCTCAACTCAAGTGGGTCTGAAATAAATCAGGTCTTCCAGTTCTGACCTGCCATCATGGGGTGCAAAGAGACTGTTGTTGTTGTTTTTTCCTATTAATTAATTTGTTAACAAATACAGAGTGGATACTAACTGGTCTTAAACTGTGAGCAGCTCACATTTCACTTATTATTATAGGAGACACAGAGACATAGGTTGCAGTAGATGTACTATAGTGGGTAAGAGCATTAACTCTAGAGCCAGCTGCTTGGGTTAGAATCCTGGCTCCACCACGGACCAGTTGTGTGACCCTGGGTAACTCCTCGTGTGTGGCAATAATTAAAGTTGCTAGACAAAGACAAGATGGTGGAGTAGTAGGACGTGAGCTCACCTCTTCTTACAAAAACACCAAAATTACAACTAACTGCTGAACAACCATCAACAAAAAAAATGGTGGAACCTACCAAAAAAGATACTCTACATCCAAAGACAAAGAAGAAGCCACAACGAGACAGTAGGAGGGGTGCAATCACAATAAAATCAAATCCCATACTCACTGGGTGGGTGACCCACAAACTGGAAAATAATTATACCACAAAAGTTCTGCCACAGGCGTGAATGTCCTGAGTCCCACGTCAGGATCCCCAGCCTGGGGGTCTGGCAATTGGAGGAGGAGCCCCAAGAGAATCTGGCTTTGAAGGCCAGCAGGGTGTGATCACAGGAATTCCACGGGACTGGAGGAAACAGAAACTCCACTCTTGGAGGGCACACACAAGGTCTTGTGCACACCAGGACCCAGGAAAAAAAAGCAGTGACTTCATAAGACACTGGGCCAGACCTACCTGCTAGTATTGGAGGGTCTCTTGCAGAGGTGTGGTGTGGCTGTGGCTCACTGTGGAGACAAAAACACTAGCGGCAGTAGTTCTGAGGAGTACTCATTAGCATGGGCACTCCTGGAGGCCATTTTCCCACCAAGACCTGGCCCCACCCCACAGCCTGTAGGCTCCAGTGCTGGGATGACTCAGGCCAAACAACCAAGAGGGCAGGAACACCGCCCCACCCATCAGCAGACAGGTTGCTTAAAGTCTTCCTGAGCACACAGCTGCCCAATAAACACAGCCCTGCCCATCAGGGGGACAAGACCCAGCTCCACCCACCAGTGGGCAAGAACCAGTCCTTCCCACCAGGAAGCCTGCACAAGCCTCTTAGACAGCCTCATCCACTGTGGAGTCAGACAGCAGAAGCAAGAAGAACTACAACCCTGCAGCCTGCATAATGGAAACCACAATCAAAGAAAGTTAGACAAAATGGGATGGCAGAGGAATATGCCCCAGATGAAGGAATAAGGTAAAACCTCAGAAGAACAACCAGGTGAAGTGGAGATAGGCAATCTACCCAAAAAATAATTCAGAATAATGATAGTAAAAATGATCTCAGAAAAAGAATGGAGGTACAGATCGAAAAGATACAAGAAATGTTTAACAAAGATGTAGGAGAACTAAAGAAAAAACAAACAGAGATGAACAGTACAATAACTAAAATGAAAAATACACTAGAAGGAATCAATAGCAGAATAACTGAGGCAGAAGAAAGAATAAGTGAGCTGAAAGAATGGTAGAAATCACTGCCATGAAACAAAATAAAGAAAAAGAATGAAAAGAAACAAGGACAGTCTCAGAGACCTGGGACAACATTAAATGCATCAACATTCTCATTATAGGTACTGCAGAAGGAGAAGAGAGAGAGAAATGACCTGAGAAAATATCTGAAGGATAATAGCTGAAAACTTCCCTAACATGGGAATGGAAACAGTCACCCAAGTCCAAGAAGCTCAGACAGCCGCAGGCAGGACGGACAAGGAGGAACATGCTGAGATGCATACTAATCAAGTTGACAAAAATTAACAACAAGAAAAAATATTGAAAGCAACAAATAACATACAAGGGAATTCCCATAAGGTTATCAGCTGATTTCTCAGCAGAAACCCTGCAAACCAGAAGGGAGTGACATGATATATTTACAGTGAGGAAAGGGAAGAACCTATAACCAAGAACACTCTATCCAGCAAGGCTTTCTTTCAGATTTGATGGAGAAATCAAAAGCTTTACAGACAAGCAAAAGCTAAGAGAATTCAGCACCACCACACCAGCTTTGCAACAAATGATAAAGGAAATTCTCTAGGTGAAAAAGAAAAGGCCACCACAAGAAACAAGAAAATTACAAATGGAAGAGCCCACTAGTAAAGGCAAACATGCAGTAAAGGTAGGAAATCATCCACACACAAATATGAACAAACCAATCACAAGTACTGAAATTGAAACTGTGATTAAAAACTCCCCAACAGACAAAAGTCCAGGACCAGATGGCTTCACGGGCAAATTCTAGCAAACATTTAGAGAAGACTTAACACCTATCCTTCTGAAACTATTCCAAAAATCAGCAGAGGAAGGAACACTCCCAAGCTTCTTCTGTGAGGGACACCATCACCCTGACACCAAAACGAGACAAAGATATCACAAAAAAAGAAAATTATAGGCCAATATCACTGATGAACACAGATGCAAAAATCCTCAACAAAATACTAGCAAACTGAATTCAATAGTACATTAAAAGGTTCATACACCGTGATCAAGTGGGATTTATCCTAGAGAATCAAGGATTTTTCAACATCTGCAAATCAGTGTGATACACCACATCAAGAAATTGAAGAATAAAAACCATAAGATCATCTCAATAGATGTAGAAAAAGCTTTTGACAAAATTCGACACCCTTTATGATTAAAAAGCTCTCCAGAAAGTGGGAATAGAGGGAACATACCTCAACATAATAAAGGCCATATATGACAAACCTACCACTAACATCATACTCAAAGGTGAAAAGCTGAAAGCATTTCCTCTGAGATCAGGAATAACACAAGGATATGCACTCTCACCACTTTTATTCAATATAGTTTTGGAAGTCTGAGCCATGACAATCAGAGAATAAAAAGAAATAAAAGGAACCCAAATTGGAAGAGAAGAAGTAAAACTGTCACGATTTGCAGATGAGATGATTCTATACATAGAAAATCCTAAAGATGCTACCAGAAAACTACTAGAGCTCATCAATGAATTCGGTAAAGGTGAAGAATACAAAATTAATACACAGAAATCTGTTGCATTTCTATACACTAACAACAAAAGACCAGAAAGAGAAATTAAAGAAACA